CCTTGGAGTGCAGATTTCGTGGCAGACGCAGGACTTTGTGGACCTTGAAGAGGAGATTTCGTGGCAGGTGCGGGACTTTGTGGATGTGGAAGTGCAGAGTTGGTGGCCGGTGCAGGACTTTGTGGGCCTTGGAGTGCAGATTTCGTGGCAGGCGCAGGTCTTTTTGATGTGGAAGTGTAGAGTTGGTGGCAGGTGCAGGACTTTGTGGCCCTTGGAGTGCAGATTTGGTGGCAGGCGCAAGACTTTGTGGACCTTGAAGTGCAGATTTCGTTGCGGGTGTAGTACTTTGTGGATGATCTGCAGATAGACAGATAGAAAGATTAATTGATCGATAGATACATAGATAGAGAGATAGAGGAGGCACACTTGCTTGGTGCACCGGGGAGTTCACCTTAAAATATTGATTTCGTGGCAGGCGCGGGTGTCGGGGATGACGTGCAGATTTCATGGCGCGGGGGGGGGTTGGGGGGGGGCGCAGCGCCACCCCCAGCAGCACACCAGATCCAAAGGTGAGCAGCTCGTGCTTGCTTGCTTGCTTGTTTGGCTTCGTCTCTGCAAAGCAAACAAAAGGAAAAGCAAAAGCAAAAAAGATAAAGGAGAACAGCTGCGAAAAAGAAAGAAAGAAAGAAAGACGAAGGACCAGAGGACCAAGGGACTAGCGGACCAGTGGACCAGCGGACTGCAGGGGACCAGCGGACCAGGGGACCAGAGGACCAGGGGACGGACCAGAGGACCGGCCACCTACACGACTGGGAATTCCAAGGGGATTTCATCGCGCAACGAATATTTTTTATTGATTCAGTAAATATCTATTTTTGATTCGGTAAATATATATGTTTTTTTGATTCGATAAATATATTTTTTGATACCTATGCCACCCTCAAAGCTCTGAAGTCTGGGAAGGAAGGGAAGGACTCTCTTCTAATCAAGTTTCATCACAAACAGGTTTCTATTGTACTCATTGTCCATCATTGTCCACAGCCTGGTTGCAGAAGAGCCACTACGACCACCTAGGACCTAGGAGTCTAGGTGAGTCTAACAAAAACAAGTCTTGTCCGATCTTCCCGCCCTAGAAAAGCGCCATTATATAAATTATAGATATCACAGTCAATAGAACCACGGCAATTTGTTGATTAAATGACTAGTAGTCGGTTGATTTTGCCTCCCAACAACCACATACCTGTGTTCTGTGATGATCCCGCCTGCCTCCTCAAGCCCTGTTTTGAACACAATGCTTGACCCACGGAGAGAAAACGCCGTGAGGATCCTCCAAGCCAAAGTTTCAAGGTATGTTGGAGGCCATCGCTAGTAGGTTGGAGGCCGTCGCTACTAGGATGGAGGCCATCGCGACTAGGGTGGAGGCTATTTTCTTCTAGGTCGGAGGCCATCCTATTAGGTTTGAGGCCCTCGCTATTGGAACCTCAACTTGTCCGTCTCAAAACGAGTGGGCGTTGCCATTGGCACCCATCCAATTGAGCTAGGTTGCAGCCTACTCCGGAATCGGAGAAAGCACGGGGCCAAGTGATCCTCAGGAATACAAGCGATGTTTGCGTGGAAATGAGTGCTGGTACCAACAAACGGTAACAAAACGTTGTCCTGTTGAAACATCTCAACAAACTGCTATCCTTCATCTTATACTCAGTCACGAGAACATGCAGTCAGCTCGAGACAATCGTACATCATGAGGAAGCACTTACCTATTGTCCCATAGGAGTCCTATGGATACAGTAATTCTTGGGCATTGACCTCAGGTCGCAATCACTCGCTGACTTTCATCAGCATCACATTCTCGCTCACCACACGTTCTTGTCTCAATTCTTCCAGTGTCGACCAAGGCACGGCGTCGTTTCACGATGGAAGGCCTGACCAGCTGAGCTTGCAATTGTGTCAGCCTGAGCAGCAGTGCAAAGAAATTGCACATAATAGTAGCGTCCTCTTGTTCCTAGTAAGGCCAGGAGCTACGTTCGGTTTCGTCCGAACGCTCCGTTCGGAGTCGCGATGCTCCCGACTGACCGGGACTCGTCCGGCGAATCGAAAGGACGCGTCGGGACACGGGACTCGGAGTCTCACCATCTGCCCGAGGGGATTGGGACTTTGAAGCACAACATATAAGCGGAAGCTGCTGAGATGAATCTTCGGACCCCTAACCTGCCAACCTGGTCATGAGTTGAAAGGAAGCAAACTAGCTTGTCCTTTTTTCTCGGGTGTGAAGCTGTTGCTTAGAAACGTAGAATCTAAGGAACATAGGTTTTGGATTGCTTTGGTTCTGGAGTTTTGCATATTACAGCCCAAGACTAATCATGGTTTGTTTGTCAATTTATTGAACCTACAGGGTAGGTTGGTGAGTAAGATGTGCTTAGTGGTCACATCCATCATTCAACCACACACCGTCCCAGCCCTGCGATCTCCGCCCCTGAGCTGCCGGTCTTGAAGCCGCGCAGGGCCAAACGCTGGCGAGCCGCTAGACCAGCCTATGAAAAGACCACGGAAAACCAGTCAAGTGGTACGATTTGTAGCCCAGCAAGCCAAATCAGTGAATAAACTTGAATTCAGCTTCATGATCCATCTGTAATCTATCCAGCTACAGTAATTATCACTTCTCTTAATCATCGCCGTGATGAATTGAAGATTCATAGATACTTATGAACCGTTTGTCTCCCATACATGGAAAACATATCCTGCCTTTTGCACCTCCTGTCCAGCATGGTCTCGCATGGCAGTTGATACAGCCTGCACCTGCACTGAGAGAAGACAGTGTTGAGATCCGTGCGGCAAGGAATATTGGAGCACAAAGAGTTGAACATACAAACTGGAACTGTACTTATTATAGTTATATATATACTGTATATATATATATAAGTATTAGTAGGACAGTAGGAGGCTCCGCAAAGACAAAGCCCAATAAGGACCGTCCTTTTTTCAGCTTCTTCTTAGTGGCTGTTGGGAAAAGCAAAGCTCGCACTCAGCCCCGCGCCACATCAAGCCACCTTGGTTCATAAAGCACCATGAACTATAGCAGTAATGCCAGAAGCCACTAGTAGGGTCCTTGCTACTAGTAGTAATGCCCTTGTTACTAGTAGCGATGCCCTTGTTGTTAGAAAAACACCTGGTTCATCCTGAGTATGCAGTTCACTTCGCAACTTAGATTTCTCCAGCCTTCACATGCAGCAGCATTGTTTTGCAGTCTTGCACGTGCTTAATAGATCTTGCACCTAGTGAGCTGTGAATGACTCCCCAAACTATCGGACTATTGCAAGCAGAACCTATGATAGCAGGGTGCCTGGAAGGGAGCTTGTTAAACAAAATATGAAAAATCTAAGGGCTCTTCAATAAGGGCCCTTGAATAAGGACTCTTTCAAAGGGCGCCTTACCCGTCCATGTGTTTTTTCTCTTTTGTCAATGAAAACAGTCAAGCAGCCCCTGACACCCGAGCCTTGTTTGAGGAAACGTTTGTTTGAAACAGACAAGGAGCAGCTGCACATTGGAGGTCAAGGTGGTAGCCAGCTCTCTTAAAACCCAGCATCCAGCCTCTTGTACCTGTGGTGAACGCCGCAAATGCTGTGCTAGAGGAGTTGATGACATCATTCTTTTTTGACCAAACACATAAAATGGAAATGGAAAAGGAAACGGGCAAACTACATCCCACATATCCTTGTAAACAAGAAGATTCCCACAAAATGGACATTCAAAAACCATACCCTCTAAATTCGAGTAGCACTGTAGCCGACTGCAACATCGGATTCACTAGTGAGACTTCCTCGCGGACTCGCCCTCCCCGGTCGCCTTCGGATTTGCCAAACGCATTGCGCGCAAGACGGCAGGCAGAGCACCCTGACGAGCCATCTCTTGCCTGGGGCCCGAGGTGCCGCGCACTCAATCCACAGTGGAAAGCGATCGCTCCGTTCGTAGCGATGCCAAGAGCTACGTTCGTAGCGTCCTTGCTCCTAGTAGCACGGCCAGGAGCCCTTAGTAGCTTCTTGTTCCTAGTAGCTTCTTTATGGCAATGTATTTGTATGGCCATGGGTCTGGTGAACTTTGAGCCTCCTGCCTCAAAGTGTCTTTTGCATCAGAGCACAGAATCGCCAACAATTTCAACATCACAAGCTCAAAGTGACACAGTGACAACTACATGTAACATCATGTAACTATACATATGCACCTGCACATAAAAAGAAGTAAGAAAACACATCGTGACACATGCATGGTTCAAGAGTGTGTGTCCCCCTACCAACAAGACAGAAACCCTGTTGGAAGATTTGGAAGCATGAACGTCATTGTCTAATACAAACCCAAGCTTGTTTACTGAACATGGTCAATTGTGGAGTCAAACCCATCAGTTGCCAAGAGTCTGCAGCGGACCTCAGTGATGCAAAAGTTGGCAAAAACTCCCAAAGGCCCAGCGGATAACATTGGGAGCTGCGCTAAGGCTATCTCTGCGGGAAATCAAGTGTTGTGATCACCAACATATTCAATCAAATCAGAAAGTACAATGATCACATCCAAATCCTAATGGTATTTCGAGTAGCACTTCTGTGCACAAAGGCAGAACAGCGCCCAGCAGCACGCACATTGCACTGTTGCATCCTGGCTGGTGCAACATCCGGTGTCCACGCGTGGTTGAACCAAGCCCCGGTCAAACGCCAGTCAGCCCAGGGTCATGTCTACGCAGGGGTCTAGCCAGCAGCTACGTCAGTGGAAAAGACACACACACAAACGACACACTCGGTTTGCCAAGCATTGTCCAAAAGAAGTGGTACCAGTAGGAAGCTTTGGAGGTTGGAGGACACTGAGATCCAAATACACACGCAAAAACATATACTGCATATTTAAACTTAAACACAAGAACACATGAAAGCGCTTTCAACCGACTCGATGAACGCTCCGAACGTGCCGTCTTCAGTTCCCCAGCCCTCGTGACGCCTTGTTGTGGCGGGCCATCCCTTGTAGCACTCGTTGTCCGGCTCCAAGGGAGATCTGAGTACAATCAGCGGATCCACGGTTTCAAAACAGTCTTGTATGTTCAATGTATATATATATATAAATAATTTATCGGTAGCATTCTTTGCGTAGTTTCTGCAGAAAAGACCTGTCAAAACCTCCCAACGATATAATCAAGTTTCCACCGGTACCCAAGCTCTGGAAATCACCTGGAATCATGGTAGCGGATCTGATTGCATTCCACGGACTTCACCCAGGCCATGGACTGAACAAACAACTCTTCGTTCCAAGATATTCCAAGCTGCCAGGTGAGCTTGGTACTTGCTGCTGCAGGCGCACGTATTCCGCAGCACCCCACAGGCAGCGACCTGCTGGCTAGCGGGCGTAGCGACATGTGCCTGGAATCAAAGTGGACCCTATGGACAAAAGAAACGAGTTGTGTGAGAGCAAGCTGCCAAGTTTGGAAGGAAAAGTGTTCGTCGAAGAACATATTGTCAAACATCTTTAAAACCTTGGAGCAACGTTGGATACGCCATGGCAGCCTGTACCCGCGCCACTGATAAATGTTTCTTCATAGCATCCAGGACGACCTGCAAGCCGTCGTCCTGCAGTGTGCAATCACTCAATGGACTCAAACCATATAATTAGTAACATGCAGCGGCGTTGGGCTGCGGCTATGGCTCAAAACAAAGTCTCGCCCACCGACCGAATCCAGATGATTGACCAAATCAATGACATGAATGCCAGAGGATGTCGGTACTTGCGCAGAAACGACACATGACGACCACGACGACGAAGCTGGACCCGAAACGGTGCCGAGAGGAACTTTGAGGAATCCCCCACCCTGGCTCCTTAAGCTGCTCCCGCGCGGAAGCCTCCGAAACAGCGAGCTCCTGATGGTCAGTCCGCCATGCAGGATTCCTGATGATGGTGATATGATGGTGATAGCCATGAGAGTGATCTCGCTTTCAACAATTTTTGTTGTCCTTTTCCTGCGCAGATTGACTGATTTGACAGACGCAGACGCGTCTGCGTACACTTCTCCTTCAAGGCCTTACAGCAATTCTCTTGCACCTCCCAGCTTTGGCTGTGGCGCATAGCCTCAGAGGGCCGAACGAAGTGTTGGGATGAGGGCGATGAGCCGGAAGATCCGTATCAGTGTGTCTTGAAGCATGGAGACCGTATTGGTCTCATATAGATCATATAGATTACTGCTGGAACTGACATGGACTATCATGCACTGTCATTGTATAGTTGGAGGCTCCTTGGAGGCATTGTAGTAGTATAGTCCAGTTGAAGGTCTTTCCATGTTAAAAACAACAACATCTTCCAACGCCTTCCAGTCTCAATCCAACCTTACCTGAGGTCCGCACTGTTACTAGCAACCTGACACCATCTGCAGCCATCACTTGCTCTCGACCTGCAAGGCGACACACACACACACACACACACGATCCGAGGCCTCCCAAGCGGATTTCCTCTGCCAAGGATCCGTCTGGCAACGAGTGAGTCTGCAAAATTCTGAACAGATTCTGCAGGAATTAATGTTTCATATTGCACGGTTTTGCACACAAAAGCAGTCCACAACCAACATGTTCAAAGACCAAACACGAGTACCGTGCTTTCGTTGTGAGCCACTGAAAGCACTTGGCCTTTGGCATTTCGTGTAACCATGGTGAGCAGCCCACTTGCCACAGCTGCATCCTGCACTTCTTGTCAGAGTGGCGTTAGATAGGACATGATACGTCTTGGATCCAGAATCCAGGCGACAGAATATCTTCTGCTTTACACAAAACCAGATCTGTGATGACCTTTCACTTCTCTCTGAGATAATATGGAGACGATGGAGCTGAGTACTGGAACAAAGCCAAGTATACATTGACGCTGGAAGAATAAGTGTCAATTCATGAACTACTGTTGGATGATCCATCGGTCCTGTTGTAAACAGTCCAATACCACCTTCACACCTTCCATGTCGACAAGGCGTGGAAGATTGCTTGGATCAGCCATCAGCCTCAGACTGTTTGGGGCCAGGATGGGCCAGGTCATCACGCGGCCAAATATTAGGGGCCGGATTAAAAAAAGCACCTCTGACGTTTCGTTTGGACTCCGGATGCAGCCACTACTTTGCAACTTTTGCTTTGAGATGCAGGCTGCTCAAGCGCTAAGAGAATGGGACGTCGTTCGCGCTCCCAAGCCTTGTCCTTTAGGGCCTGGCGAATGTCATCTTCTGTTACTTGTTCAGCACATGACACACCCTATCCAACACATCTGTGATCATCTGTGTCTTGTTTACCGGGATCCCATTGTTGTCTGATGAAACTTGACGACACGGCCCACCATCAACTGCAGAAGATTCTACCGCCCTTCATCTTGCATGGTTGTCAATCATCAACTGTCCTTGACAACTTTCCAATGACATGTTCACAGCCAACCTCAAGAGCCTTTGCCACTGTTGAGCAATCACAGCTTGGCTCGCTGGGAGTCTCCTATGGGCTCGTGGTCCGCCACGAAGAGCATCTACAGTGTACAGTGTACAGTCCGCGCGGTTCTTGGGATACTCGCCGTTTATCTGTTTGTGCACGGAAAAAGAGATGTCCCAACATGAACGCTAAACTGTCAACACTTTGGAATGGAATGCGCTTATTACATCTCACATCATCCCACTACCTAATGCCCATTGCCCAATTGTGTTTTGATGCTGGCAGCAAGTCTTGGCACCCGACTTGACAAAAAAGCGCCCACATCAAAGTTGGGATGCTTTGTTCAAGGCTACACAAATGGACCAAGCAAGGTGCATCGCTACTAGTATCAAGAAGCTATTAGGTTGGAGGCCATCACTACTAGTAACAAGAAGCTACTAGTATCCACCTTTTGCAGTCAAGTTGGGACCCCTCCTGTTCCGTCTCATCAATCCAGTCAATTCCCTGCGCAGGGCGCAAGGACATATCCTGCCTGGGCAGAGTGAGGAGTTTGTTCCGGCGTTGAAAGATTCTGGAAGCTTCAAACGGTCCAAGATTCGCTTAAACCACAATCTTGTTCAACGAAACAATGTCATTTTGTAGGATTTGGAGGGATCATCGAAGACTCACCGGCGATGGAGGCTTAGCCGTGATGCTGGAGGCTCAGCAGCGGGGTCACCGAAGGCTTTCGGGCCAGCTTCCTGGAGCGACAGTGACCAGGAAGCCGCTTGTTCAGTCGACCGAAGTCAACTCATTACTTGGGGAACGGCCCCTGTGTTGCCGTTCGGGGTCCTTTTTTGGTGGCCGTGTTCCAGGTGCCCATATGAAAGACCAGTCGCAAAAAGGACCAAGCAATTCTCACATGGCGAAAAGGTTGACCAAAAATCACCACCCCTTGGATGAGTTCAGGTAGGGTCACCAATGTAACATGATGTGAACAACAGCCACTAAAGTAGAACACCTAGGAAACGGGCGATGACAAATGCCTGTGAAACTGGTCATTTGCCGAGTTGGTGCTCACAGTGCTCACCGTATAACTGCATACATGAAGGATCTGGTCCCATCTGGTCTCCTTGAGCGGCTGCCTCGGCCCAAGTAAACGCTTGGGACATCAGTGCCTCAAAGGAAAAGGGGTGCAAAAGGATTCTGGACGGGACACAAATCATCATGATCCCAAAATCTATGGGCGAAGGGAACAATACAATGAACCTTAATTGGATTCAATTGGGTCATGTCATGCCGTCATACCCGTACTGTTCTGGCTCAGACCTCTTTTCAAAAGTGTACTGTGCAGCTTTAAAGACTCGCATCGGTCCCTTCCTGCGCTCAAATCTCTCCTCTCCCTTTGATGCATCTCAGTCGCACGTCGCCATTGATCCCTTCGCCAAGCAGGTCCTAGACCGGAAGAATGGCGGTCTTCAAACAAAACCGAGGCTCTGAGTCTCCAGGATAGGCCGTACTTCAACAGCGGGAGCACGCCTCACGGCCTCTGCCTCCACCCCGTCCTCATGAGCGCGCGGGCGCTGCGGTGAGGCTTTGTCCGCCGTTGGGCGGAGGTCCATGGAGTCTTTGTGGGGACCTCAGGTCGAAGGCGTCGGCGTTGCCACGGGAAGACCCAGTCTATGGAAGTCGATGGACATACGTAAGTCTGCTTCCCACAGGAAGCAACGAATTCATGACGGACCATGATGGAGCAGATGCTTTGTTCGTGAAGAAGAATGGTTGCGGATGGTTGCGGCATCAACATGCAGCAAAGTATATAATGAAATGGAGGGTCTAAATTCCTGTCGTTTCACATATATATATAGTTCAAAGAGCTTAGCCTGTAGTTCTCAGTGAGGCTTTCAGAGGCAAAGGAGGAAACCAAGAGTTTGCCCAGGAATGCAAACTCAAGCTAAGCTTTGAGTCTTGACCAAGAGGAGCACTTACGTAAGTTTCTTGGAACAGGTTCCACCAACGGGCCTGGTGAAAGCCATGCGGATGAGGATGTGAAAGCTTCTTCGTGTTTTCACGCTTCCTGTCAGGCAATAGAACGAAGCCGAAACATAGCAACAAACAAGATATGGCGTACACAAGTTGATTCAGCTGAGAACAAGGATAACATCCCTGGCAGTCTCTGGCACTTTTAGATGCTTCATGTGTTGTCCCTTCAAGACTTCTTTGTGTTCCAAGTTGGGCAAATACAAGATGTGAAATATGCCGGGCTCCTGCCCCCAATAATTACTGTTCTTGGCCAACAAAATGACCTCTGTCATGGGAGCCGCGTACTTGTTCTCTGTCTTTAAGAGTGGGACCACGAGAGTGAGAAAAAACCACTAAAGTTGAGTGTCTTTGATCCTGCACCGCTTTCGCAAAGCCCTAGCGCAAACATTGCATGAGGGGGGCATGGGAGTTGCTAGCAGGCTACAGGCCCTTGTGGGGGTGCATTGGTGAAATTGTAGTCCAAAAAAGCATGTCACTACATATATATATATATAATCTATATCTCCAGAAGGGGTGGCCATGGGGCCTGGGTTTTGGAATTGTGTACTTTTAAGACAATTTTACAAGTGCAATCAAAGCCACCAAAAGCACTGAACAGTTTTTTTTTTTTTAAATGACATATATATATAATTACACTGAATATGTTATCTTCAAATTTGCATGTTTGGACTCTCAGAAGCATCCATGAATACGTCCTCTGCAAGCGGCGGTTTCGATCCAGGGCCCGCTGGAACTTGGCCGTGCCATGGGCCCCGTGGGCCTCGAACGAGTTCGACTCGAGCTCGAACGAGTGTCGTACGGAAAGGAATGCATTGCACTAACATGTACATGGCTCTTCATAAAACGTGTCTTCTTTATGTGAAAGAACTAACTATCAAAAGACCACAAAATGATCTTGGTTAAAAGGATACACTACATGAAGTGTGACAAGACTGCACAGCGCAGGGCCTCATTGGAGGCACCACCAGGCAGATTTGGATCTGTCCCCGCTTCGGACATTCCTATGTCCGACTAATGCTCCATGAGTACAGCTGCGGTCCGAAGAAGAACACCAGCTGCGCTTCAAATGCACTTGATTGAGGCCCCTGAACTCCGGCTGGTGCCAGGTAAAGGTCAAACGTCTGAAACCAAACCAGGCACAAGTCAAGGAAGTGAAGCAAATTGTTTGATCAACGATACTTCAAGCAAGCGATTCAACATTTTACGGTCCATGTTTGGGTGGTTGTATGGCCAACTCAGCGTTGGCTGATGTTTTCTATCTGGAGCTGAAGTGCTCTTCCAGGCCTCTGTGACTAAGCGAGCCTCCTTCTGCTCTGCTGTCTCCTGCCGGGTGGACAAGCTGTGCGCTTGGAGAGCCTGACTGACGAATGTTAGGTTCCAAGGATAAACAATGATAAACATGGCTACAGTCCACAGCTACATGCATCATCATAAACGAAAGCCCTTCAGCAACCACAGACTAGTCAAAAAAAACACCATTACGCCAGGCGTCTATGTCCAAACGGCCGGCAAAGTGTTCAGGCCTCCTCAGCATTGGCCTCTGGACGATCACCTGTTTGTCCCACCCTCTGGGACCCTCTGAACACTCTCAGATGATTGGTTTCGCTCTGCCTGTACAAACCCAACCCGTGAGACGAGTCACTAGGGTGTATGTAAGTGAAACATCGTGACTCGTAGAATTTCCAGCATCCCGGATGTTGATCAACATGTTGATGTCAACACAGGATTAAGTACCTTCCTATGAGTATCTATATATACAGAATTGTATGGATTATGTTTTCGGTCCCAGACGGGTTTCGAACGAAAAGACTTGTTTCTTTCTTTGTCTGTTCTCTGCCGCTGGACGGGGCTGATCTGACTCCACTCCTTTCACACCGCGTCTCTTGGGACCGAATCTTCATGTCCGCCTGGCTCTGAGGCTCGAGAGCTTCGGGTCCTGGCTAGTCTGCCCAAAGCATGGAAGAAGGGAACTCACAAGGGAACTAAGAAGGGAATTCGGAATCTTAAAAGAAAAAACATGGGATGCACTCTGCAGGGCTCTGCCAAGAGATCCCTAGATTTCTTTTGTCCTTTTCGACAGTCGAGTGACTCCGTGATCGAATCTTTCAGTCGAGTGACTCCGACGGCCTTTCCGGGGCCGGATGTGGCAGCCTGGACGAACACGTCATGTGAGGAGAACATGAAGAAGGGCATCGCTACTAGGAACAAGTAAGCTACTAGGGGCTCCTGGCATCGCTACTAGTAACAAGTGCCTTACTAGTAGTAACAAGAAGCTACTAGGGGCTCCTGGCCTTACTACACTAGGAACAAAGGGCATCGCTACTAGAAACAAAGGGCATCGCTACTAAGTAACAAAGGGCATCGCTACTATTTAACAAGAACGCTACTAGGGGCTCCTGGCCTTACTACTAGGAGCAAGAAGCTACTAGGGGCTATGTGGTTCATGTTCACACGTGTTTCTTCGCTCACTTCTGCTTCTGTGTCTGTGTCTGGACCGTCAAGACTGCTTGATGTCATCATTGGAGGCAACCACTAGTTTCAATTTCAAAAAAGCAGCTGGACCGTCAACCACCGAGTCCTTAATGGTGACTGCTTTAAGAAAAGAATATGCTTCTTATCGGTGTTCTCTTTCTTTCTCTCACTGTTCCCTTTGTCTCGATGCTGCACCTGTCCTCAGTACTTCTAAATTAGAATTTCATTGTTGACAACAAAGTCATGAAGGCTGTTTCAAGAAACACATATTATCCCTTTCTTTCTCTTTTCATTTCTCTGTTTCGATGTTCTCAATTTCATTGAATTTCGTGATTGGTTGTGTTGACTGCAAGCTTCAAGTTTGGTGATCACTTGGCAGAATAAGTTCACGTGGTGTTTGCTCTTGACATCTTCTGACGTTTTTCAATGGTTAGCTTCTTACATGAACGATGCTTTCAGGATCTTGAAGGCTTTGGCTAAAAATAAACGAACAACTTAAGTCACCAACACGGCCTTTGCTTCGACGGATTCCGCTCCGACGGGGTCCCTCCGAGCACTCGGACGGAGCGTTGGCGGGCGATTCGGGATCCTCGGCTAAGACGATTCGGCGCCCCGTTCGTAGCGTCCTTGTTCTGTCTGGGATGAGCCATAGGCCACCCATCGTCTTCTGTTCTGTTACTCGAACATAGAGCACTTATCTGACATGTAGTACTTGTAGTATACAGCTCCCAAACCACCTGATGTCACTGAGCAGGTTTGTTGCTCTTGTAATTTATCATTGTCCACCTGGACCGACTTTAGTTGCGCTCCCGGTGCTCCCTACTGAGCTGCCAGGCCATGTCAGCAGCTGTCTCTGCCCTGCATCAGCTTCATGCTGTCCGACGTCCCATCGTCTTCAAGTCTTGGAGCAAAACCACGTGAACTAACTACGATATACTACTACGATCGCATTCCAGGTTTTGACATACTGAATCATCCAAGTTTGTCAAAAGCTAAACAAGCCAACGGCTTCTCGCTGCAAGGGGGGTCACATTTGGGTAGGGGTCATGAAGGGGTGGGATGACCTAGGGGTGTTTCTCCTTTCTTTCCGTTTCAGAGTTTCAGGGTTCGGTTCGCCGGCGTCTTCTCTGCCTGATGCTCTCGCAGCTGGCACGCTCGTTGACGGATACCTTTCAACAAAATGTTCGGATTGTCTCTGGAATGGTTTGAGACCCGACCAAAGATGGTCAGAATATGTCAGAATCTTCATTTACATTCGTTTACTGTCCCTCTACTGATTGCTGTTCCATTGGAACAGGCAGTGTTCGGTGTTTGTGCTGCTTTAGGGGGTTTTCTAGCTTTGCGCCCGGTCTTGAACCAGAATCAATTGATAGGAAACACTTCCACAGTGCAAGCTCTAGGGGCATGCCCGATGATACATAGCTGTATAATTATAGCTGTTGTGACACTGCCAGCATTGAGTAACCCCACTACTTTCATCTACTTTCTAAACTGCTATGATTGAGTCCTGTAAAGACACAGCAGGAGCTAGCTGCTTTTCAACAAAGAAAGGAATCAGTGACAACTATTTCTACGAAAGACGGTGTCGGTCAGCCCCCCCGCGTAAACTTTTACCCGTGTGAAGTGTGCGAGAAAGTGCTAAATACATCTAAATACATCTAAATACTGGACTTACTAGACTTAGCTAGCAAGTAGCTATGCTCGCAGTGCTTTCCTAAAGTTTCTCAAGGAGCCAAGGTACATGGACACAGGCAATCCAGGCAGTAAAGACCAGCGAGAGCAGTGAGGAGTCCTCGAAGCTGAAGGTTCACGAACAGCAATAAGCTTTGGAATTTTCAGACAAAGCTTTGTTAAATCCTGACAAGCAAAGGCCACCAAATGCCACCAGTCAGCAAGCAGTGTAGTTGTCTAACACAAACACATACACAGCAACGATATGCAAGGGTGCTGTGCGGTCAGAGCTTGCCTGGAGCGGAATGTAGCGCTGGATGATGCGCAGTGTCCTCTGGTCAAACTGCTAGTGTTGAAGTCCATTGCGGATTGTCAAGACAAACTGTGAAGAAAAAGGCAAAGCAGTAGCGTTCGGATGCTATGCTCGGTGGAGGCCATCGCTACGAACGTGGCAAGAAGTGATGGCCGTTTGAGCATCGCTAAACATGGCCAACATGGCCGTAGAACCCGGTCGAACGGTTGCCAGTCCTGTGAGCAAATCCACAGTGAGTGCACCAAAAGGAGAAGGACCTACAAGTACAAAATGGCTTGTCGGGCAGGATGAGATCAGATTGGGTGCTGGAAAACATGAAACAAGCCACCCAAAATCAATGCCAGATCGACCCAGGCCTATCTAGTCCCTCCGCTCACCAGTTCGGTTAAATCTCCTCTCAACAAAGGTAGAAAACGTCAATCTGCTGGTGGCTGGTAACTGATTTGCTCTCTTTTCTAAAGAGAAGGCCCTCTGACATCCGCGGATCGAAGCAGTAAAAAAGAAAGTGTCATGTGAAGCGTTCTTACTAGTAGTAACAAGAAGCTATTAGTTTCCTTGATTGTGCCTGGTTGTCCTTCAGCCAATCACCCGCTTCGGCGCTCGGAGCCCGGGCAGCTTCACCAGGTCGGTGTTGCTGAAGCCACCTCCGGCCGAGCTCAGCGCCAGGCTGCCACGCATGGTACGGCCCAACACCTGCAAAAACAGCAGCCGACGCGGAACCCGCGTTGGCGGGTGAACGGACTGCGCCCCCGGCTCCAAGCTCCGCATTCCGTAGAAGGGCGCTGTTTGGAATGGTGAGGTTTGGATGTGAATTCCTGTTTGAAATTTGGGTTCCAACACCTTCAAGGTCTGAAATAGTCCTCTGGGTCGTCTTGAACCCAGAAACAATGATCAATGTGCATGCACGAATTTTGAGTGCAATGCTTGGCACACAAAAAGCTATTTAAATATGGAGCATACATGGCACGTAGGCACAAAGCCTACCCCAGCCTTGTCCATTTCATTGGACTGTAGGTTCAAAGCCTAGCGCCAGCACTTGGAGGCAAGGTGCCGTTCGGCAGCTCAGCTGTGACTGCAGTCTGGAGACTGTCGCTGCAGGTACAGTCTCCACAGTATTGAACCATTAGACCGCCCGAAGTTCACTTCCCATCACTTTTCAAGTCAGTGCTCTCAAAGTCGCGCCTGCCAAAGGTAGAAGTACCTGCCGTTTCGCGGCCCACCGTCGCCGTTTCGCGGCCCTCGAATGCGTCGGACGGGCCATTGGGACTCGTCGGCTGGACGGCGGACTCGCGAAGGGCACTCCGCGAGTTCAAAGGGTTTGGCCACTCGGCAGCTTCGCTTCACGGCCAAGTCCATGGATTTGAAGTCCAAACGGGAGCGCGCCCAACCTGAGCGACTTGGGGGCCAACATGGAGAATTTCAACGGCGGGACAGTAAGGAGTGGTGATGGATTATTAGTTGATAAATTTATTAAACAAAATAGTCAGTAGAGTATGACAAAGTGTAGCAATATATATATATATATGACTATATGTATGAGCGACGTGCAAAACCTCTTGTGTGTTGTAGTGCGCACTCTTCCCAACGTTATCGTGTTTTCTTGTGAACCTTATCGTTCCTGAAGGTTTCCCTCATTTTGCTTCCTTAATTAGTCTTCTCTGTAGTGATGCTACCTTCATCGGAGGTTTTGGCAGTTGCTTATATATATACGTATCTTCGTCGTACCTGCTAGGACTTGGTTGATACAGAATGACTTCTCATGGCAACGAAACGTTCGAGATGCGTTGTCAGGCTCCGTGGTTCGAATA